CCCATTTTCAGGGCACCATTCTTTCTTGAAGCATTTGCTGTCTTGACTGTACATGTACCATTCATTGAGCACTTTTCATGTGCTATCATCTCACTGGAATCAGAGCTTCAAATTAAAGGCTCCTCTAGGACAGAGGTTGTACTTGTTTCAGCCATGGTTTCACAGAACTCAGCCTAGGGACTGATTCTTAAAGGCAGGTCTGCTGCTTTGTGCTACCTTTGTTCCTTTGTGTGCCTTTGTGCAAATACAAAAAAAAAAAAAAGTGCCTCTTCCTTTGCCTGATTTAGCTCTATGCCAAAGACAAGGCCTGGTAATTAAAGTTCGAACTAGATTTCAACTCTCACTTGTTCCTTTTGCTGGAAACCTTCAAAACCTGCATGGTCTTATGGGTCAACTCTGCCTCAAGGAAGGAATTAATAAATAAATAATTCTGAAATGTGGCTATTTTAAACTATAAAGATATCGAGGCTCAGAGAGGTTAAATTTTTCACCCAAGGACCCATCTAGGAATGGCAGAGACTGAGATTTGTCCTGAGTCTGCCCGTCTCCAAAACTCAAGGAAACACTGCCTTTGCCTATCTTCTTCTCTGGTCTCAACGTGAGTCTAACACTTTACATCTTATTAAGCATGTTCACAGTTCTTTTTCAGACTGAGATCAGCCCCTTCTGGAATTTATTCCAAGACTTCTGCACCCTGGAGTGAATGTCTGGCCCTCTCCCAGGACCAGTGTCTCTAAGACTAAACCCTCCCTGTCCTTGCTGGAATACTATCAAAGTCCATGAAGCAAAGGACAGAGGGGAAGGCAAGGACTTTGGTACCAGAGTTGCCTGTATTCTATTGCTACTTGGCAGCTGACTTACTGGTAGACTTTGGACTTGTCACTTGGCCTCATCTGTAAAATATAAGTCATAATACCTCCCTCATAGGAATGAGATATAGCTTTGTAAGCACTCAGTAAAGCTTAGTTCTCCTCTTTCACTTTGCTGAGAGCAAAGATTGTGTCTCATGTTAAGTTTATACACAAGAAAACTGAAGCCTTTGTCTACAGAAGATTCTTAGTGAACTTTGTCAACTCCATGACTAGAATTGCTTTTTCTCTTGACCTTGGGCAAGTCATTTTCCTGTCTTTTCTTGTCTTTTCAATGGGAACAATAACACCTAAAAAAACACAAGCACTACTGTAATTTACTGAATATTTACTATGTATCTGGGCATTGCAGTGCTTTATGGATTTACTGACATTTAATCATTACAATAGGACTATGAGGTAAGTGCTATTAATATTCTTGATGTCCCAGAGGTGGACACTGAGGCTCAGAGAAGTAAAGGACTTTGTCCTTGAGTCACCTAGCTGCTAAGCAGCAGCACTGGGATATAAATCCTGCTTTGCAATACTCTAGAGCAGGATTTCTCAACCCATTGACATTTTGAGCCACATAATTCTTTCACATAAGTCTTATGCACTGCAGGATGTTTACCAGCCTCTCTGGGCCTCTACCTATTTGATGCCAGTAGTACCCATCCTCCACTTGTGAGAGCCAAAACTGTCCTCAGATCTTGCCAAATGTCCCCTGTTGAGCAAAATCACCCTTAGTTAAGAACCACTTAACTAGGGGTGATTTTGGAGAGGGAGCTGCAGAGATTTTGTTATACCCAAGGCAGCATTTCTTTCTTTTGTTATACCCAAGGCAGCATTTCTTTCTTAAAATATGGTCTTTTGACTACCCGCAATATAATCATTCTGGGTGAGGCCCGGGAATCTATGCAAGCAGCTTGGTTTTTTGTAGGGACCCAGACCTTGGAAATCCCCTCCAGCTGGCCCTCCTGGGGCTAGGATATCTCAGGTCTACCTGCTTTCCACAGGTGTCTCCATGGTGACTGGTCCTCCAGGCAGCTTCCAGAACAGCCCACTTCTAACAGTAGTTCCACATCTGCCTCTGCCCCAGGGTTTATTTCTGGCTTTCAGGTTTGGTACTGAAGACAGATTCTGTCATGCTAAGTCAGGTCACTATCATTTCTTACCTGCATTTCACAAGGTCTTAAATGATCTGGCCCCTGCTTACTTCTCCTTTCTTCTTATTACTTGGCTCCAGGCTGCACTGGCTCCATCCTATGGAGCATCTTCCTTCCTTAGGGCCTTTGCTGGAGCCACTCCATCTGCTTAGGACCTCCCCACTTCTTTCCCCTGACTGACTTATTAAAATTTCAGCTCTCAGCTAAATGTCATTCCTCAGGGAAGCTTTCTCTGAACTCCAGAATAGGTCCAATGTCACTTTCATACATATTCATGGCTCCTGTACTTCTTCCCAGTGCTTATCATAATTGTAAATATAATAATTGTAGTAATTATTTGGTTAATGTTTGTTTTTTCCCACTATTTTATGAGTGCTATGACAGCTGGGAATATGCATGTTTTATTCACTGATATATCTCTGGAACCTGGTGCAGAGCCTGACACATAAGTAGTGCTCAAATACTCGTTGATGAATGAGTATCTCTTCCAACCATAATTTTCCAGGAAGTCACCTCATAGTCACACGCTTTTCCCTCCACCCTTCAGCCCAACTCAGTGAAGTAAATAAGCAATTAGGATGGGACCTCCCTTTTTCCAAGGACTTGGGACTAGTTGATGTTGAAAGAGAATGAATCATCTGAGGGTGAAAGGAGAGCTCGGCAAAAGATAATGTCCTTTATCATGTCCACAGCCAGAAATGAGCCCTCTCCAAACTCCTAACTGCTGGTCTCTGGATTGCTAACCTATCTTTAATAGCAGATAGCTAAGGGATCAGTAATAAGTTTTAAGGGGACAACTAAAATGTCGATTAATAATTAAGGCTTGGCAAATAACTAAACTGCTATTGACGTAAGGAACATCCAAACCTGCAGAGAATTTTCGTAAGAGTTTATTCGAGCCAAACTGATGATATATGCTGGGGAGCAAGATCGCAAATGCTTCGGAGAATATGTTTGCAGTTTCTTTTATGTGTTTGGAATTAAAGAGGGAATTTAAGGAAGATTACACGGTGGTGGAAAAAAATAAGGCAGGGATTGGATTACAAGTTTATGTGCTTTCTTAAGGGTGGTTACGCCTTTGAGGGGTATTACTTCTAGCATTTCAAAGGTGTGTTAACCTAGATGCACAAGAACAATGGATGGCCCTTGCTTAAAAACCTTTCACAAGAGAAGTTACAGGCCTGGGATGTGCCTACCCACACTGACCTGCCCTCTTTCCATTCACACTACTAAATACTAATATATAACCTAATAAAGTATTTGGCTTACAAATAAAGTGTTAGAAGATAATTAAGGTGGTAGTAGAAAATCAAATATTAACTACTCAAGTGTTAGCTGATAACAAAGGGATTAATTTAAAACTAAGTTGTTAGCACATACTGGTTAACCAATGACTAGGGCAGCAGTTGACAAGAATTTGAAGTGAGATTTTTCCAAGGGGACTCTTGTATTTTAGTGAAGACTTGGGAACAGCAGAAAAGAGATAAAGCTTATAGGAATGAAGTTCTAATTGGGACTGTAAAATCCTCAGCTAGATTCTAAACTTCTGAGGAAAATGTGTTTTGCTTTCCAGATAGGCTTTAGTCAGGGATGGCATGAACCATGTGCTTAAAATGCTTATCATTTAATTACAATTAATCTGCTAAGGGCCAGGCACTGTGCTGAGGAGAGAAGGAAGGGTAGTTGCTTAAACAATGAAAACAGAGTGTGGTGAGTGAGTGCGTGAGTGAGTGAGTGAGTGGTGTGTGACAGCCAGGAAAGGCTCAGGGGCTTTGTGAAGGGTGAGTGGAAGGGAGAGCAGGTGTGTCAGGAAGAGACAATGAGTTTAGTTCTGGATATGCTGAATTGAGGTGTCTATAGACATGCCAAGTAGGCAGACTGATATGAGTCCAAGGTAGAAATTTGAGTCCAAGGCACAGATGGTGGTCAAAACCATGAGAAAAGAATGATATAACTAGAGAAGAGTGTATGGAGTGAGAAAAGGGACCAGCCTGGAATCCCAAGGAAGAACAACAAGGAAGGAGTGGGCAGAGAGGAAAGAGACATCAACAGACACTGAGAAGAAGGAATAATCAGAAAGGGAGAAAATTAAGACAGTGACATGAAAGCTAAGGGAAGAGAAAGTTTCAAGAAGAGTGCAGTCAGCAATGTGAGATGTGGCTGAGAGGCCAAGCAGGATAAAGTCAGAGAGGTGTTCATTGAGAATGTGGTTCCAAAATGTCCATCACAAAAAGTTCTGTGATAGCTGGCTTTCATTCTGTGTGTGTACAAACACAAGAGCACATGCAGAGCTGGAGCTTGGAGCAGGGCATGTAAGGGGCAGGCTGGAGGCCACCAGAGAGGGGCTTGTGGTCAGCTCATAGAAAGCTTTCATTTACTCTGGGCAGCTTTTGGGAAGGACCATTAAGGGAGATTGTGAGAACTGTAAGCACAGTTCAACCCTTTTGTTGTCCAGTGGTAAAATTAAGGACAGCAGACAAGGAACAATTTGCTCAGTCTGTGAATCAGGGGCACAGCCAGGACTTGAATCTGAGTCTCCTTCTTCTAGAAGAGTGACCTTGGGAGAAGTAGACATGAAATTCTTACTGTCCAATGAATTATCAATCCGTGACTTTTCCCATCACTTCAATTTTTAGCTGCCGCTTTTTTATAATTATATAAAAATGAAATACATATTTTACACACAAAATTTAAACATTATAGAAATACTTAACAAAGAAATTGAATGACTCCTATTATCCCACCCTCACCCCTCAGAGACAACCACCATTATAGTTTGGTCTGTCTCTTTTTATCTCCTCTTTCCCACTCAGTTATAACATAGTAAATTTTTTAAATAAAAATATTATATGTTACACTGGATTTTTTTGTGTATGCATGTGTTCATTCTGTTTTACAAGTTTCCTTGTTTTCACTCTTGGACAGCTTTCTATGGTTGCATATAGAAATCTAATTCATTCATTTCAATAACTATATTAGTGTATCATTTGGATTTGTAGCATAATTTATTACCAGGCCATATTGATAGACACAAGGGTTACATCCAATTTCACTGTTATGAACAGTGTACATACATATTATTGCACATATATATTTGCATGGTTAGGGAGTCTTCTAGAAGGAGAAATGATGGATCTAAGGATATGAACATTTTGTTTTAAAAGCTATTACCAAATCATGCTCCAAGAACTTGTGACAGTTTATTGTCCCACCAACAATTTATGCAAATGCCATTTCCCCACATCCTTACCAACAATGGGTATTATTATTTAAAAAAATCCTTCCAATTTGAATGAGGCTAAGTATCTTTTCATATACTTATTATTTATCTATATCCTTCTGTGAATTATCTATTCATATCCTTTGCCTATTTGTTATTGTAGTATACTTTTCATCAGTGAATTCTTATTGGGAAATAATGATTAGGTTGATTAAAAAAGGCTTGGAAGCCTTTGTACCAAATTACTAACAATGTTTACCTCTAGGGAATGAGAGTATAGAAAATGAGGGGGATATTTTCATTTTATTATGACATCCTGTATTATCTTACAATGTATTTGCATTACTTTGGTAATTAGAAAATAATACAGAAGAAAAAAACAATAACAACAAATAAATGTTTGGCCTGGATTCTCATTGGCTAGAAATTCATGTTGGGTACAAGTTTTCACTGATTACAAGTTATTTTTTGGTTCATATGCAAAAAAACATTTATCGAATGCCTCTTATTCAGCTGACACAGCCTTAGGCATATTCACAGGTTTTTTATCCTAATCCTCACAATAGCCCTGTGATGTAGAAATTGGCCCTGTTTTACAGAGTTCTTAATAGGTAGACGATTTTTGCTTGATATAGTTCTTTTTGCTATGTTTTCATGGGCTAGATATTCTTATTGGCTGGTGATTCATTGGTCAGGAGCTCTCATTGGCCAGGAGTTCCTATAGGTTGCTCTAAGATTTAAATCATCAAAATACTAGAATTTTTCCCCCCATAGGAGTGATGTGGTAGGTGGGGTAAAGGTGGAAGAAGGAGAGTTAATAGTCTCTCCCTTTGAAGCACCATTCAAGTTTGCTTTGGTCACCCATGGAAGGTGGAGGGAAGGGGACGGTGGAAGAGGAGGGAAAGTGATTATAAGTCTTCTAAAGGTGGAAGAAGGAGAGTCAATGGTCTCTCCCTTTGAAGCACCATTTGAGTTTGCTTTGGTCACCCACGGAAAGTGGAGGGAAGGGGATGGTGGGAGAGGAGGTGGGAAAGTGATTATAAGTCTTCTCGCTTCTTCAGTATGAGCTTCCTCACAAGCGCTGTGATCTGGGGCCTGATCTCCTCCACCGATATAGTTGGGTCCCAAGCCTCTACCACTTTTCCATCTGGGGCCACTAGGTACTTCCAGAAGTTCCAGGTAGGCTCCTTCCCAGAAGTTTCTAGAGAAAAAAGAAGAAGGAGAGCAAAGTTTGCTTCCCTGTGTGCCCTCTCCTGGAATTCTACTATCAGTGTCCAGTTATCCCCTGAAACACTGGTTCTATTAGAATTAGCTGGAGAGATTTTCCAATCTTGATGCCCAGTCCACACCCCAGACCACTTAAATCAGAATCTCTGGGGGTAAGACTCAGGCATCTGTATTTTTAAAAAGCTGTCCAGAAGATTCCAATATGGCGCCAAGATTGAAAACTACTGCTCTAGGATTCTGTGAAGTGCTTGATAAAGCAGATTTAGATCTTCTTTTATTAATGACCTCAAACTACTGAATAGTCTACACATTATTCTCTAACAAAAACTTAATGATTTCCAAATGTTAGTCCATGAACTGGATGCATCTGAATCATGGTGGCAGTGATAGTGAGGAATGCTTAAAATAAAGATTCTTGGGCCTTGCTTCAGTAGGTCTCAGGTTAATGCATTTTTAAGAGCTCCCCAGGTGCTTCTACAGCAGGGCCAGGTTTGATCTATAACAGTGGGAACTGGAAAGGAACTAATAAAAACACACAGGGGGAAAAAAGCAAATATTAGGATTGACCCACAGAGCAAAATTCTAATCTGCCTCAGTAAGGGACCTTTTGTTGGCTACACTGTTGTTTCTCATTTACTCCTCCAGGTGAATGGGTTGGTTGGGGGGTGATGAGGGATATGAAGGCAACCAGAAGCGTAGAGTAGGAGAAAACAAAAATGGAGCCCCCAAAGGAGGAGAAATGTCTGAAGGAGGAAATAGGACCATAATGATAAACATGGCTCGTGATCCCATTTTGTGGTTCTGAGGCTTCTGGGGCTGGAGAAGGGATTTATTTCTGAAATATTGAGATCTGGTGTTTTAGCTCAGGTTTCCTTCCCATGGCCTATATAAACTTTGCCTCTGACTCAAGACAGGAGATGTCTATCAGCCTTCTCCAAGAGTGTGGCATCCCATCTGCACCTTGGTTTCTCCATCCTAAGTTCATAGGCTCAACTAATTCACATTTACTAAAATCTGAGGGCCCAAGCTCCTTCTAGGAGCCCCTGCATATGAAAACAGGGTTCCAGAGATGTCTGCAAGAGTGATTCTGAGGGAGAACTGAGACTGAGAGGTAGCAAGGTGGAAATATTCTTAGGCAGGAATACCCCTAAGTTCATCCTCAAAGATTAGTGCTGAAACAGATCATCAATCCACCCACTGGGGTCTAGAAGGGGCCCCAGATCACCCAGCCAGGCAGTGGCTTCTGCTACCTAGGGAGCTACAACCTTAGTCAGATGAGAGAAGGTGAGATAAAAGATCAGAACTCACGGATCAGGTACTTGAAGGCGGGGTGGGCACCAGTGCCGGTGACTGCAACCTTGCTAAACATGGGGAAAGAGACACTGTAGGTGCGGCGGGCAAAGCTCTCGATCTCCCTGTTGCTGTCAGGCTCCTGTTGGCCAAACTGGTTGCAGGGGAAGGCAAGCACATTGAAGTGGTGGGGCCCCAGGTCCCGCTGTAGCTGTTGCAGGTCTCGGTAGTGCTGGTCTGTGAAGCCACACTCGCTGGCCACATTCACCACCAGGGACACCTGGGTGGCAAAAACAAAACTCAGATACATACACAACCCAGTGAAGAGGCATGCACTTGTACATGGCTTGACATGCCCATATGTGACCCCTCCCCCACAATTAATGCCCTCATACATACAAGAATACAATGTACACATATGTAAGTGTGACTGCAATGCTCTCACATATATACAAACACATGCACACAGGCACAAATGAAATCAAATATGCAAAAGCTTACAGATATATGTGCATAGACATACATGAATATTGTGACTAAGCATAAAATAGTCACAAACGGGTATGCATACTCCATGATACAAAGATACGTTAGCACACATCACACATGTCCACAAAGACAACACATTCACTGGGGAGCTCATACCAGGAGGTGATGTGGGGGAGTGGAAAGGCACACCTGGGTTCAATTTCTGGCTCATTTAGCTGGCACTCTTTTAGAGTGCCATGTCTCCCTTTTAGAATGTGAACTCGCTGAAGGCAGGAGCTATGTCCACTTCACCCCAGGACTTGACATATAGAAAAGTCTCAGAAAGTGCCTGTTGAATGAATAAGTAAGTATGCAGATATACACAATCACCTGCATAGGTACATGGACAGACATGAATTTTCCTGATAAAGGACCCCAAGGATCCCAGAGCAATCCCTTTTTGCCCCTCTCCAGCAAAAAAATACCACTTTCTTTTATCACTAGACTCACCCTTAAGTTTACTATCGCCTTATAATAAATGTATTTATTTATATAAATGTATTTATAAATTTATCACCTTTAGGTAATAAATATAAAGCTAGCTGATGGAACTTGATTGGTGCCATTAGAATTTTGGCACCAATGCTATGTTTTTAGCTTCTAGTTATATATGAATAAAGGATTTTAAAACTCATCCTGTGTCTGGGCAGCCCTGCCCTATCTCTCTGGCTACTTTTTTAGGAGAGCTAGGATCATACCAGCTGGTTGCATAAAGAGGGCCACCTCCCAGTGGCGGCCGGGGGCACTGGACATGCACAGACACAAACTGCTGAGGCAAGACAAGGTTTCTCGACCTCAGGAATATTGACATTTTGGGCTGGATAATTCTGTGTGGTGTTGGGGCTATTCTTTCTGTTCATCGTAGGATGTTTAGCAGCATCCCTAGCCTTTACCCACTAGACACCTAGTCTTGACAATAAAAATGTTTCCATACGTTGCTAAATGTCCCCTGGGAAGCAAAATTACCCCAGTTGAGAACCACTGGGCTAGATTATGAGAGTCGCTAAGCTGTAACTCCCTCAACCTACCTCTACCAGATGAGGAAGGACTCATTCCCAGAGCCACAGGGTGTTAGAACAGCCTCCCCCATTTGCATCAGCATATGCCATATTCTGCCTGTGGTTGTGAGAAACTAGGATCTTTAACTCCCTTCCCTAGTCAGGGGTCTTATTCTTTCTTCTCTCATGGATTTCTGGCAATAAGAGCATTAAAAATTGCTTATTTTTAACCTACATCTTGTGTGTCTACTTTTTTGGAAGGAAGGAAATCTTGCTTCTAATTCCATGCCTGAAACCAAAAAGCTCATCCTTAAAGTGACCAAAACAGACAGACAAGCTCAAATACACACAGTTAATTTATATAATATATATATATATAAGCACAGCTATAGACTTGGATGTGTACATGGAAGCAAGCAAACAAATAAACCCTTCATACACACACACTACTCAGGCCTGCATGCACATAACCTCACACTTCAGGCAGGCACATTCTCGAGTGGTCACCCATCAATCCATACTCAAGGCTGGTCTAAATGACTATCTTCCTAGTTAGGCTGAGGGCATAAATCATACAGTCTTGCTCACGGTTATATCTCCAGGGCTGGTCCCAGTGAGGAGAATGTAGGGGAAGCCAGTAAAAATTTTTCCAATTAAAAAAAAATTGTGATGAAATACACATAATGAGCAAATAATTATTTGCAGATGAATGAATGACCATATTGCTCAAGTGGCAAATCTAGCTTGGATTAACTCACAGCATCATTTATAGATTTCCTGGACTGACTCTTCCTGATTTCCCTCTAAACCTAGCATTTAAGAGCATAGGCTCTGGAGCTGGGCTGCTTGGGTTCAAATTCTAAGTCTACGACTTGGTAGCTGTGTGATGCTGTTCTTTTTCTTTTTTCAACTTCTTTTTGATTGATTTCTTGGCCTTTCACTACTATGCATTTACCAATGACCTGGAGTATTAAAACACTTAGAATTCTGGGATTACTTTTCTGGGTCATTTTCTTCAGGATTTCTGTTCCTTACATCCTGGATGCTTTATTATTTCTGAAAACAAATAGACTTTGTTCTATTCTTGTCATAGCACTTATTACTACTAGGAATTACCTTGTTCATTTTTCTGTTCCTTGTTTATTATCTCTATCCTCTCCACATCATATAAGCTCTATTAAAGTGGAAATTTGTCTGTTTTGTTCACCACTGCACCCCCAAGACTGGCCTAGTACTTAGTATACAGTAGGTATTCGATAATAATTAATGAACTAACTGAGTAGCAGAGCTGGTCAAATGCTAAACCTGGGGATCTCCAGCCAGCTGCACTAGAAGGAAGGGAAGGCCTGAACAGGAATGGGCCCTGCTCTTATTGGCTTTTTGCTCTGAGCAAAAAAACCAAAAAAGTAATAAATGCTGTGGTAAGGAAGTAGCAGTTACCCTGGATAACTCATATCTCAGCGTGAGCTGCCATCACAGGAGTTTGCCTAAAGCAGATCACAGAGGGATGGGTGGTTCTCCTCCAGGCTCTGTGCTTTCTAGCTCTGTATGACCCTGTGCTAACACCTTCCCTCACTGGGCCTTTGTGTCCTCCCTAGAGGACGATCTGGGTAAGGTCCGCATGCACTCCCTCTGCACTTGCGCATTCATTTCTATCATGTTCTCGTTGGATTCAATATCAGCAACTCCTCCCGTTCCAGATGCCGAAAGTGGGGATGGGAAAGACAAAGGCCGCAGGATGCTAGCTAGGGTTGCTTTTTCCACTAGTGCATGACAAAGGCTGGGCTCGGGTCATCAAGCCTCTGGGAGAGGTCTGGACTCGCCGCCCAAAGTGGCTGCAAGGGAAATTGGCGCCGGCTGTGAGAGTTTCGGATTTCACGGCAAGCCGGGGCCGTGCCACGTAGTCGCAGGACGGACCCCAAGCACCATCGGGGGCGCTGCGCCCCGGGGGGAATGCCTGGGTGGGGGCGGGGAAGCCAGGGCTGTGTCTTTGGGCGGCAAGAGCCCCTCGGAGCTACACTCGCAGGGTCCAGGGCCGCGGGGCGCCCCCATCAGTCCCTGCCGGGGTGGCGCCGAGCCCCCGCGGGTGGACACTCACCGAACCCCGGTACTTCTCCAGCGACACCAACTTGCCCCGGATGTTGACAGCCTTGAAGTCGTAGAAGTCTTGCTCCCGCGGAGCGCAGGCCGCGGCCGACAGGAGCAGCCACGCTGCCACCAGTGCAGCCACCATGACTCGCTCCCGAGGTGGCCGATTTGCCAGGGCAAAGACGAGGCAGGGGGAGTGTGTATGTGTGTGGGGGGGCGGGTGGGTAGAGACTCTGAGATGGGGGGAGGGAGGAGGCGGCTCCGGCATCACCCGGCCAGAGACGCAGGACGCGCCCCTTTCTCTTTCTCCTCAGCAGGCGGTGGAGCGCCAGCCACTGGACCTCAGTTTCCCCATCTTTGCTACAGGAGCCGTTCGACTCTGCGCCTCTTCCCGGACCCCACAGCCAGGGTTCCAGGATTTTGATCACTGAGACCAGGATTTAGTTGAGTGAGCTCATCGCTCTTGTTCCAGGATGCAGCAACTTGGTAGGGAAAAGAGGTGAAAATCTGGATCTGATTTAAAGCAGTGGCCTTAGGCTGTTCATACCACCTCTCTGGGCCTCAGTGTCTTCATCTGTTCAGTGGGGCAAGCCTCCCTTCTTGCTGCACCTAGGCAGTATAGAATGAGAGTGATAGAAAACTGGATGTGAAACACTTTGTCAGCTGAATGGTGCCTACAGACTTTAGGTGAATGAATGAATGGTCAGTCCCTGAGGGATGGCATCAAGAAGGGGAAGAGAATACAGAGGTTGGTGCAGGTTGAGTTTCTGGGAAGCAGATTCTGAAGTGGAGATTGCTGTGCAGAAGCACCCTGGGAATCAACACCTGTGGAAGGGAACAGGAGTGGGCAGAAGCCCAGAGCTCCAAGGACAGTCTTGGCTGATGCCACAGGGACTCTGAAGCTAGCATGGCCAGTAGAGTCATCCCCAGATAAGCTAAATTGACCAGGCCTTTATATCCCTGCCTTCATCAGTTATTAGACATGGGGCCATCTGGGAAAAGCTGTGACAGGAGCCAAAGTGGCCCTGTCCCTGGAGGGGCTGACAATTAAAGGCTTCCCACCAACAGCATGGGTGTCCTAAGTCTTCATGATTGGAGATCTGGGCAGCATCATAGTGTCTCTCACATTTAGAAAACCCCTGCCGAGCCCCACTAATTGCCAAGCATGGTGCTGGGTGCTGACACTGTACTAGTTCTCCAGGAGCTCACAGGCTGCCATGAGAGAAGCCAGGTAAACTGGGGATTTTGTATTATGTGGTAAGGGCTAAACATTGCTACAGTCATTCAACAAATACTTCTTGAGCACTGTTCTACACTGAGTTCTGCTCGAGGTGCCTCTTATGCAGTGATGAACAAGAGGCAGGCAGGGGTGAGGTCACACAGAACCTGGTGGGCTATAATAAAGATTATGGTCTTTAAGCTAAGAAATGAAGGTTCTTTCTTTTCTAAAGTTAGTGAACAGCAGTGAGTCCTACGTTGTAGAAAGATCCCTCTGGCTGTTCTGTAGAGAGTAGATAGGAAGGGGCAAGAACAGATGTGCTCCAGATGCTGGGGTAGAGGAAGGTCTGGAGTTCTGAGGCCCAGAGGTAGTTCCTAGCAGTCAGGAAAAGCCTCCTCGAGGTGGTAATACCAGAGTTATGTCTTGAAAGAGGAATGGGAATTCTCCAATTTGAGAAGAGGGTGGCAAAGATGTCAGCTTGAGAGAACAGTGTCTGTGAAAGCACAGAGCCCAAGAGAAATGCTTAGGTGTTTGGGGTGAGAAGGGGTATGTATAGGGTAGATGAGGTTGGAGAGGGCATCAGAGGTCAGATAGAGGAGGGTCTTGAGTGCCAAGCTGAGGAACTTGGATTTTACTCTCTAGGCTGCGGCAAACAAAGGTTTTGAAACTGGGCACAGGATCATACAGTAAAAAAGACTCAAACCCAGGCCTTCAGAATCAGAACAGGAACTTTCTGCACTACTAAAGTGGCCTCTCTCTTCAGGAACAGACATTATCAGGAGAGGTGGGAAACAGGAGAAAGTGTGCTCCAGGCAATGGCCAAGGCAGAAATAAAGTTCTTCTGCTCTTCTACTCCTTATCGCCTGGAGCCTGTGATGGGTCCTGCAGTATTAAATGGCCTCCTCCTGCCATCTGTCCCTTTCACTCAGCCTTTTCTTGTATGTCTCAATAACCAGGGGTTCTCAAATTCTGCTACACACAACTTAGAGTTTTGCAAGCTTGGCTGAGCTACTTTCTGTTAAAATCCATATAGGTAGGCATTTCTATGAAGCAGGAAAAAAAAAAAGTTAGTGGTGAAATGCTTCTCACTTACAAATTTCTCTCCTGGGCCCTTCTCTCCTCCCCTATTCATGCTTCAGAACCCAGCTCAGATATCATCCCCCTCTGCTACTATACTTAATCTCTCTCTCTTCTCTGTTACCTTTGTGCCTAGTACATTTTTCTGTAGTGGGCTGATGATAATATGGTGTAGTTGTCTGTTTCCATGGCCACTAGGCTGTGAGTTCCTTGGGGGCAGACTGGACTGTACCCGAATCAGCTTTGTATCTCCCTGGTACCCACTCAGTAAATATTCATTTTTCTTAAACCTTCTGGTAACTTTTATTACTTGTCTGTGCTAGAGTCTGATACGAGATGCTGTTAATTTTAGCCAACAGTATGTGTTTTGTCATTTTATTTTTAGTTTTCTATGCATTTTTGGTATTTCCGAAAGAGCACAACTATTCCCAGGTGGCCCATCTACACAGGTGGGAGACCCATAGGCACAAATACACACACAGTTCTCAGCTGAGCACCTAGAAGGGTGGAGGACTCACTTCTGGGTTCCCCATACTTCTCTTTCCCATAATAAGCTCAAAAAAGGCCTTTTATTAATTTTTTGTTCATTCAACAAATTATTGAGCACTTACTATGTACAGGAATGCAATTTTAAAGTCTAGGAATATGTAGTTAATAAGGCAGACAAAATATTCTTGAAATCACATTCTAGTATAGGAGGGAAGGATAATAACAAATTTATAGTATGAAACATATAGTACATTAGATGATGATAAGAAGGGGATAGAGAATATGGTAGTTGGGTGGGGAGGGACTGCAGCTTTAATTCAAATGATTAGAAGGCTTCACTGAGGAAGTAGCAATTGAGCAAAGACAGGAAGAAAGAGGGCAAACAATGGGAAAAGTAAAAGAAGAGCAACATTCCAGATAGAGGAAAGGCAAGTACATAGGCCCTGAGGCAGGGGCGTGCATGATGTGTTTGGAGAACAGCCGGGAGGCTAGTGTAGATGGAGTGGATTGAGTAAAAGAGTAAATTTGTGGAGTGAGTGAAAGAGAGCAAAGGATGACATCAGAGGTGTAATAAGATATGGGGCAGATACTGTAGGAGGGTCTTATAAACCACTGTAAAGACATTTGCCTGGATGGACTTTGAGGGAGGCAGGAATCCAGCAAAGAGTTTTAAGCAGGGAAATGACATTTCTAATTTATATTTTAACTGCAGTATTGAAATAAGGAGACCAGTCAGGAAGCTATTGTGGTAATCCACGTGAGGGAACATGTAGGCTTAGACCAAAGTGATGGCAGTTGTGGTAGGAAGTAGTCAGATTCCGAATATATTTTAAAAGTAGAGGCAAAAGAATTTCCTGATGTAGGGTATGAGAGAAAGAGAAGCATCACAGATGACTTTAAGGTTTTTAGCCATAGCAACCGGAAGAATAACGTTGCCATTAATTGAGTTGAAGACACCTGCAGGGCAACTAGTTTGGATGGGAAATTAAGAGTTCAGTTTTGGACATGGTAAATTTGAGTTGCCTATTAGCAGTGGTATATGCTTGTAAATGTTTAACAACTGACTCTTCAAGGAAAAAGGGTGTGTGTGCGTATACTCATATAAGTTTATTATAAAGTTTACTGATAATTAATGATGCATTGCACACAATTTACAAATCATAATAAAATATACAGTACTCCTTATTGTAAATTCCACCTGACCAATTTATTCTCATAGAATGCTTTAATCGATTTTTGTCAAACTTGTATCTGTAGCCAACTAATGGTTGCAATTGCTGAGCAAGTGTAGTTCCAAGATGAAGGTTGGTTGATATTTTCATTTACATTAATAGTAAGATGAAAGTGAAACAATAAAGACATGTTAAACTTCCCTAGTCAGTGACGCAAGTGACTTCTTTGCTGAACTGGACAGTAGTTTTCCAAAACTGGAAGACTATTTCTTCAGTTTTTTGTTTTGATTTTTTTTTTTTTTGCTATTCACAACGTAATAGCTATAGACACAATATACTCCAAATTTATTCTACATTATCAATATTTATCTACATCACTTTCTTAAGCGTAGACAATTAGCAAAACAATAAATCGAACTCTGATTGGTAGCATTTGCCAATTTCTGTGGTGTGAATTCTCACCATGGTTGGTTTTGGAGCTACCAACGTGATGTCACTGAACACAGAGTTAGGAAGAGATGTGAGAGTAGACACCATTATAGGGTAGTTCCACAATATAGCTAGAATAGATAGATGTAAATAACTCCAAGAGCATAGAAAATAATAAAATATAGTAAAATAACTAGAAAGTGATGTTTCAAATATTACCTTTGTTTTTTTAAATTAAATTAATTTTTTTTTTATTTTGGTGCTTCTTTCTTCCCACCTGGTTTTTTAAAAACTTTATTTATTTAAATTAGTTTCAAGGATTACCTTTGTTTTTAATGACATTTAATTTTGAATTTACATAATTAAATTTTTGGTAATGGCTGCTTTTAACAAGAGGCTGGAAAATTTCTTGAAAATGTAACAATTGACTCTAGAAGCTGCCTCTTGACATCACTACTATCTCTAGGTTGGATATATATGTCTGGACTTGGAGGAGAGGTCTAGGTCAGAGATATAAATTTGAGAATGGACAGCATATCATATATTTAAAGCCATGATACTGGGCGACGATGGCGAGTTGATATAGATAGATAAGAGAACCAAAATTAGCCCTCGGAACTCTGACATTCAGCATCAGGGAAATGAAGACATCAGGGAAATGAGAGGGAACCAGAAGAGGGGACTGAAAAAGAGTAGCCAGAGGAAGAAGAACCAAAAGGGTACAGTGTCATTGAGACCAAGTGACACATTTGTCCAAAGAAGAAGAGTGATTTAACAGGTCAAATGTTGCTGATAAATCTAT